CCCCCCAACCCCCCCCCCCCCCGACTCCCCCCAAATTCAGCATTAGTACTTGACGCTTTGACTGTCCCGTCCGTGTTTAATTTGGAATAACCCATTGTTGGAGGTTCCCATTTGATATACATTGGTAACGATTATTTTTTGTGTGTGGAACTATTGGTTAGGTAAAAAAATCGGTTGCAAGTTGATTTATAAAAATAATGTTGGGTGTACATTTGGAATTTTGGAAGATGTTTATATTTCTAATGTTCCACAAATGCCATAAAGTGAAGGGGAATAGTATTTGGTGAGGTATGAAACTCTTATTGGCGAAACTATGTGATTGAATACGTTTTCTAAGCCACGCATAGTTAGGAATTATTGCATGATTAATATTTTGTATGCAACTCATTAGTTTTATAGCATGGCAACATTGTCTTGCGTTAGTGTATTTGAATAGAATGTGACTAATTATTTCTTCGTGCACTTGACAGATAGTACATACGTTGCAAGAGAGGATTCCAAGTCTAGTTACATAGACTAGATTATACATACTATAAGTGCGCTAAAAATTTCCAGAAGACAAAGTTTTTTACCCTCCAAATATTTCAGTGAAAAATAAAATTACATCAATATAATTCAAATAAACTAGCAATGGCAATAATAATAACAGCATTAACACAATACAGACGTGTTTAGAACTAGGAGATTCTTAGAACAAAATAGTTGCGCAAAATTTCATAAAAATAAAACTATAACCAAAAGGGGGAAAAAACACATATCCAACATAGAACGGGATCAACCATTGGTAATTATAATATTTTCTTGTTCAGGCAAAAAGAATAAAATCCAGCAAAATTAAGCTTAAAGAAAATGTTTATATCATATTTACGAATTCCTCAAAATCGATCTTCCCATCTCCATCTTCATCAAAAGCCAAGATCATCTTTCTGCAATTTTCCAATTCTGCAGCATGCTTCAATCCAAGAGCGTACAGAACTCTCTGCAATTCCGTTTCGTCAATAAAACCATCTTTGTTCTCATCAAATACATCAAAAGCTTCTCCTAAATACTGCATATTATATTCTTCTTCTCCAAACAAGTCATATAAATTGTCTAAATCAAACCTCTCCTGTAGTTTTTCACCTTCAGGGTGGCAAAAAAATCCCAGTTTAGCCATTATAATCTCTACCTCTTCTCTGCATAAGCTTCCATCAACTAACATAAAAGGGGTTGTTTTCTTGTTTTTTTCCAGGTGATCTGATGGACCCACCTTGGATTTTTTAGAATTTTGTGTTTGGGACAAAAAGTTGATAAATTTTCTTCCCCAATCAAAGATTATGTACAACAAGAAGAAACCAACTAAGCCATGAATTAGCAAAGGCACAGGAACGGTAGTTAAAGGTAACTTCTTGAATGTAAAGCGATTGAGATAGCTAGGAGCTGCCATTGGCTATATTGCCTAATGGAGCTTCTCTCTGATTGAGGATGGAGAAAATTACAGAATTTTCTCCTTTCTATAAGGGTTATGTTAAAGCATGCAAATACAAAAAAAGAGATGGTCTTTTTCTCTTCAGGTTTGCGACAAGGGTGGAGAGGAATGGTAGGGAATAATTCTTATGTGTACGTTATATATAACGAAAGTTTTTTTTTTTTTTTAATTATTATTATTCCGAAAGGCTTAGTAACCATTAATTCGAAAGTTGATGAATTTGCAGTTTTAGTCCCTTTAATATCAATAAATAATTAAACAGGATTAACTTTCAATTTATGAGAATGTAGTTTGATTCTTCCGCTTGTGAATTTTTAAGAGTTTAATGAATTATTTTAATTATTATACTATTTAATTATTCATGTGTTATCTTACTTCTTAAGAATAATATGGTAATATAATTTTAAAATAGCATAATCTTATACTCTTTCTGTTTTAATTTATTTGGCACCATTTGACTAGGCACAAAGTCTAAGAAAGAAGGAAATTTTTGAAAACTTATTGTCTTAAACATATTATAACATTTGTGTAGTTATAAGACTTTTCAAAACTAATAGTCTTAAACATTTGATAACATTTGCCTGACTATAAAAACTTCTCACTAAAGAAATAATGCTATTATATTTAAAACGGACTAATAAGAAAATAGTGTCAACAATGTGAAACAAATACAATATAACACATTTTTAATAATAAAAATTGAAAACTTAATTGTACCATAGATAAGGATTAAAATTAAAATTGATCAATAATTTGAGAGACGAATAGTGTTATTATCCCTCATTTTAATGAAAGTTGAAAAAGGAGGATTGAGGAATGTGCTTGTCGGGTTCGTTGATTTCAGTCAGTGGGTTAGAAGTTAGAATAATCAAGATTAGATTATTGCTACAAGTGTCAAAGAATGCGAAAGTCAGTGGGTATTCTTGTTGGAGTCGTTTGCCTTTGGCCTCTGGACGGGAATTTGGTGGCCCTCTTTTACTTTATTTCTTTTACTTTTTTGTCTTTTTATGATTTGATTTGACTGTTTTAATTAGTACTACTACTACTACCAGTATTTGACTATTTATGAGAAAAAAAAGTAGAAGGAAGTTGCTCTGCTGTATGTGATAGTGCAGTTTCATGTCATCTTTTCTTCTTAATGCGTTGCTTTATATGCAGTGAAGGGTGGGTTAGGGATATAATAGATATGCCCTAGATCCAATATCATATCTGATGATCTGAACATATTTTTTGTGAACATTATTTGATATATAATATATATGGCATTTGATATTCTTTTATCATTGTTATTAATTGCTTGATTAATTTGATAAGGTCCTTGATTAAATTTTGAGACTTGACATTGTGATGGAGATCATGATAATGAGAGTAAAGTTTCTTATAATTTAATCTAAATTTGTTCTTGATCGTAGGATTATTAATTTGGACATTAGTAATCCGGTTAGATCAATATTTATGTGATCGTCTTTATGGGATAAAGATTAGTTGATCTCATTAACTAAATTACATAGATAGATGATGCATATAGAGATATGGTCATTGAACCGACTCATTGGATAATTCCTAATGGTTAGAATTACCATAAGCTGTCAATAGGATATTCTCTTGAAGAATGTGATGTAATAATTTCCTTTGACTTGAGATCGTCATAGTAATTGACAAGTTATTTATTGTGCTTTGATACCAGACACCTATGGCCCTAGGGCGATAGTTGAAAGGATATTGGGTACGATTAAATACTTGTAGAATTAGTGATTGATCAAGATGGAATCTGTCAACTTTTGGTAATGAGTTTAAGCTCCATGTTGTCATGAATTATAAACGACCAAACTAAGACCTTGGCCAGGGCAATTGAATGAAAGAAGAAATGAGTTTCTTAGCTCATTCAATGGTCGATTATATTTGACATGAACACATAGTTGGTCGCCTATTAGGATTTGACAGTTGAACCATATCCTAGGGTGATCCAGAGCTATAAGGACAGAAGGAATTACTACAATATTCTTCTACTGGTTCTTGAGAGTAAATTGTATACTTCATGCTATCCGGTCGTTAAGGAGTGTTGCTAGACGCCACCCTTGATTAGTATATTGATATGATCAATTTACTACCGGTTTAGTATTGAACCTATGGGGTCGCACACTAACGAGTGTTCTGATCTTTGCTAAAGGATTAATTACTTTATTATTTGATAATTAAATTAAGGAATTTAAATTAGTCAAATAAATTTAGGTAGTTAGTCCAAATGAAATATTATTATATTCTTTGCTAGCACAGAGGATATAATTAATATTGTGAACAAATTGAAATTTTCTATTTGGATTAGAAAATTAAATTATATCTCTTAGTTAAAATATATATGATATATTTGATACTCATAATTAATATTTATTTATATATACAGATATATAAAATATTAGTTAAAAGACTCATAAGTTAAAACCAACTTTGAGTTGGATTAACCAGAAAGTCCACAAAGGACGTGAGGCTCTCAAAATCTCATGAGTAATGGGATTAGTAGTTTACGTATAAGGTCCAAAAGGACTTGTTGGCTACTTTGTCCTATTGTGAATAGGATTTGTATTTTACAATATAAAATTATAAGAAGTGCAATATTGAGAATTGATCCTCACGTCAGTCACGGTCTTCACGTTTCCCTTAACCTAAATTGATAATTTGGTGCTCGAGTATATATAGATACGCACATCACCAAATAACGAGAGGAAGTGAAAAACTTCAGATGAGCCGCAAGAATATCACTTTGTGAAAGTGAGAATACAATNATATATATATATATATACACACACACACACGTATATATATATATATATATATATATACGTGTGTGTGTGTGTGTGATATATATAAAATAAATTAGTATTGATTTATATAAAGGTTATGTATATAATATTAATTTATACTCCAATTTGGAATTGGAATCGTAAAGTCCATAAGGACGTGAAAGTCCAATTGGACTTAACATAAAACACATTCAGTCACCGCCTCAATTCTCCAAAACCTAATGGGAACAATGTGATGTTTGATGATATAAATATATCATTACAACATAAGGCACAAGATATAGAAAAAAGAAAAAACGTGAGTGGCTAGAATCAAAAATACTCCTGACAAGAAAAATTAGTTTTCTTGGTCTTTTACGTTTAGGCTACGGTTTTTGAGAAAAGCTTTAGCACAATATTTTCGTTCAATTTGTTCGTGGGTTTCATTGATCAAAGAGTTGATAGCAAGGATCGGTCTCGGTGTGGATACGCATAGAGTCTTCGCACTATCGAAGAAATTTTGAAACGAGACTCTCTTCACCAGGTACGTCTTAGATCCGATCTTTGACATGTATATAAATTTTAAACACGAAAAGATCTTCCTAGGATTGTTATTGTCTTCCGCTGCGTGTTACGAATACCTATACGCAATCCTTCAGGGTGGATTGAAATGTCTTTAGTATTCTGCTGCATTTTCTATACTTCTGCTTAGAAAGAATGGGTAAATATAATAAATCTAGAATATGTGTTTTATTATTACGTACTGATATGAGTAATATCTATACAGAGATATATGATGAAATCCTAGATCAAGATTGAGCTACTGAACTACGGAGGTGAAGAAGCAGTTACGCAGACACAGAGAAGAAAGTGATTCTCTTCATTTCCTGTTAAATTGGTTATTACACTATATATATATATATATATACTAGTTTCTCGACACGTGCGTTGCACGTGGGTGTCGAGTTATGATCACACGATATTATAAAATTATATTTATAATATCTATAAACTTTTATACACAAAAGAACAAAGTACGAGTTACTGTGATGATCAATGTGAATCTTCGTATAGTGACTTGTTTGTTGAATTCAACATAATTGAATATTGTCTGAACATACAAAAATAAACGATCCAAATTTAAATAGATACATGTGATTTTTCCAACAAGCTTAGTGTTCCGATCACTCCACTAAGGGCTCCGTTGGATTCATGCTCACGCTCTCTACCTCTACCCATAATTCTATATTTCTGGTTCAAAGCCTACATTAACGATCAAGTAAACAAGGAAATAACAGAGGAAAGATGATGATTTGAAGCTCATGTTTGCGGTGTCGATATTTTTATTTATTCTATAAATAAGGCATTTAGGTTATTCAAAAGGGTAATTAGATCTCTAGCATTTTAGTTTTGGGGGTCGTACTTTTACAATAACACAGATATTGATTTATATACAATATAGATTTAGATTTATATATACCAACATTGCCTTTTTTATTTGACGCTAATTGAACATAGTATTCTTCATTTGCTCATAAATAAAGTTTATTTGAATTTAAAATATAGTAATTATTCAATGCTAGAGTACTGATTAAGGAGGATCAAGACCCTTTTATTCATTTATAAACAAATAAGGAGCATAAAAACTACCCCTTTCAAAAGAACAATTTTCATGAGTTTGAACGTGTGTCTTTTGAAATTTGAGTTTGAATATGTATGTATTGCAAATAATAAACATTACTCAATAGAGATTATTGACTATTTCGTTCATTTTTTATCACCCAATTTTTTTAGTTCTACATAAAAAAGTTAGACTTTTTTAATTTCGTTCTCCCTTACGTACGTACAACTGATAGACAAAAGAGAAGTTATTTCACCATGAATCAATACTAATTTCTTACTTTAGTTCATAAACACCAATAGTAAACTCAAATCTAGTTGTTATATATAATAGTATTATTTGATAATCGTATTACTATGAATAGAAAAAACATATATCTTTTCTCTCTCAAAGAATTGTGTGGTTTAACAAAATAATTAACTACTTGAAAAATTCCTAATGGCTAAACAACTAAATAATTTCTTTAAAATTTAGTTATTAATGAAAAACATAACTATTTAGAGAAACACGATAAATCTATATTTTAAAAATTTTAACTTAATTATTGTATAATATAATTGTTAAATATAAAATATATATTATAAAGGGTATTTCGGTCTTTATGCAAGATATATTAAATTTATAATAAAAGGTAACCAACCTTTAAATTATGTCTAAATGTAACCCTAAAATATTTCATAATTTCAAAAATATGTTC